AAAAAACTCACACATCCGATAAAACTGGAAAATGACATTTGTCTAAATGGCTTCTTGGCCCGTAAATGGCGTTAATTTTTTAATTAACAATTTTTTTTGCCCTTTAAAAGGTGGGGCGGGGGTGGGGGTTGAGAACACTTTAAGGAAAGGCTTTTTTTCCAGGTGGAAGGAGATGGAAAGTCATTACTTAGATGTTAAGTGACATTTTGGTTATTTGGTGTGGGGTTTTTTTCTTTTTTGATTGCGGTTTTTCCTCTTTGGCCAAAAAAAAAGGGGGGGGTTAAATTAGGAGGAGGTGTCTTTTCCTACTTTTAATTTTCTATAAAGGTGTTGCTTTAGAGGGGTGGGGCATAAACCATAAAAAAATTGTTGAAATGAGAATTACACAGGTATATAATTAGAGTGGAAGTTTTCACTTGGTAATTTGGTTCACAGAATCAATTTATTAATTTTTTAGGGTCAAACACCTAGCCCAGGTTCACATTTCAACAAATGCCAACTTGGGCATAATGAACAGAACCCCAAAGGCCAGTTTCCTTTGGGGGGGCTAGTTGTTTGGTGTTACTCTTACTTTTTTTTTTTTTTGGATGGGTCAAGCCTTTGTTCTCCTGGGTCCAGATTTACATAAAGCAGAAAATGATTAATGAAGTGAAAAAAATAAGTCTATGGTGTTTTTGCCTTTGCAGTTTTAACTACTAAGTGGTACATATGCTGAGGTTTTGAATTAAACTTTTACAAGGTTGCGTTATGCTCTATAAAGATTAATATGCAAATAACCGTTTGATTTCAAAGCGTAAACCTGGAAAAGTCTAGAACGGCTCACAAAGGCCACCTGGCTCCCACAACACCAGTTTAAGTCAAGTGTGCTGCTGATGCACATGGAGCCCTGACCCCTTTTGTGCACTGTTCACAATGCGCCACTTAATTTGAGACTGTTAATCTAAATACATACACTTTGGTGGGGGAAGGGGACACACTTTCTTACATTCTAGTCTCAGTGGCTAAATTCAGCCCTGGTTGATTGATTAATAGCCTCTGGCAAAGGGGTGTGTACCCCATGCCAGGGACACAGCATTTTTCAGTGGTGACTCACCAAATAATGCCCCCCTCCTCAAAGAGGGAAAATAATAATTCCCAAATCCTCTTTACTCAATCTTCTAATGACCAAACAATTGAGCAAATTGAAGAGCGCACAAAAGCTGTTAAGTCTTCAGCCAAGTCCTCTGATCTCATCGGTGTGGAAACTGAGGCAGGGTCGCTCTGTACCTGAGACAACCTTGCTAACATGAACTGAGGACACTGGAAGAACATGCCTGTTAATCTTTTGATTTCTGAGAGTTCAGCTCATTAAGAAGAGGGTGTTTGCTTTGAAATCAATGTTTCTGTGGAAACTAATTTTAACTTTTACAAATATTGATCTGTGAGAAGGCAAGAGGAGGGGGGACTATTGCTTTCTGGGCAGCAAAACAATAAAAGTGTGAAAGAAAGGGCGGGGGAGCCAGACGACGGCAAAACCGAGGACCAGCGCAACGAGGAGAAGGCGCAGCGCGAGGCCAACAAGAAGATCGAGAAGCAGCTGCAGAAGGACAAGCAGGTCTACCGGGCCACGCACCGCCTGCTGCTGCTGGGTGCTGGAGAATCTGGTAAAAGCACCATTGTGAAGCAAATGAGGATCCTGCATGTTAATGGGTTTAATGGAGAGGGCGGCGAAGAGGACGCGCAGGCTGCCAGGAGCAACAGCGATGGAGACTATTATTTCTAGATGTGATGGCTACAGTGTCTCAACTTCCCGCCTCTATCCGACCCCAAATTGCATGCTGGAATATCTCCACCCTTAGGACCTTCTATAAGAATACTATACTATCAAAAAAAAAAAAA